CTGCCACCATTAACCGAGCATCTTTTAAAGGATCCACTTGTGAACGGACAATACTGTGCTGGTTCCTGAATTTCCCTAGTGGGGATACAGGTCTTGATGATAAATTAGGTAGAGGATATCGATCTGTAATTGACAATCAATATATGTAAACACTAGTCGAACAAAACCCATGTCAAAGTGACAGAGAACTGTCTCAGAGAATGAGTGTTAACATGTCAACAAAACCTGATCATCTTAAGAAAACTGACACGGTGAAGAAACTCGATAAGGACCCCAATATTTTCGTAAAACCGACATTGAATGAACAAAATAATATGGCGACTGCCTGGTGGCGCGCCATTGGCGTTATTCATGACATATTTGTGAAATCTAACCAAAGCATCACATCCAAGGTGTTCTCCCAGTAAGTGGATGAAATGCCCATTCAGTTAACTGGCACTGGTTAAGCTATAAGGCTCAATTCTGCATAATGACAATACTTACCCCCACGGATAACACTGACGAAGTTCATTTGGGATACGATATTTTTTCATATCCGTCATATCACCCTAATCTCTCGCTAATTGACAACTATTTTGAGCCAAAACCAGCTGCAAACATTTAGAGTCCAAAACTTTAGAGTTTTATCGTAAATAGTCTTGTAATTCGATGGCAGAAACACCGAGTATACTAGCGTATCATGCGACTTTTGAAAACCTAATTTTGAAGCTAATTTTAAGGGGGTCGCATCATACGTGAGATATAAAATTAGTTTATGTACTGCCGGCCCTGGCTATGCCATTGACCAAACTATATTTCCATTTACTGTAGTCAAAAAGTACAGCAGTATTTAAAAAAAAAAAACATCGCCCGTTACACGAGTATATACGGTATGTTTCCAATTATAATATGTAGTAATTCTTGGCTGATCAGTTTATTACTTTATAACAATGGAAAACCTGTCTCCGACTTTATGTTCAATAGAAACTTTAATTACCGTATATACTCGCGTATCATTCGGCTTTTTAAGGCCTAATTTTTAAGCTAATTTTAAGAGGGTCGCATCATACACAAGATATATAATTAGTGTACGTACTGCTGGCTCTGGCTACGCTTTTGATCAAACTATATATGCATTTACTGTAGTAAATTGTACAGTTGTATTTTAAATAAACATTACGCGTTACACACGTATATACTGTGTATAAGATGCTTTAGATTTTGATTTCACTGATTTAAACAATTTTGAAATATATTAAATCCAGAATAAAAGTTGATTTTAAAATCGGAGATTATTTTCCGAACAACCTAATAACAGAATTGAATTCAAAGGATTTTGTAAAAATAAAATCTGCGGTAGAGAAATTAATGCAAGGGTTCCTGACAGATTCGTTTTTTTTTTTGTTTTTTGTTTTTTTTTTAAACACCATATTATGTAACGAGACCAGCAAGCATATCTCTATACAATTTTCTTTATCCTTCAGACGCCCAGCCGTGGAGTAATGGTTAGCCAAGCTAGACTGATTAGTAAAGGTGAAACACTCAGCATTTGACATTAAATGAGGGCTGGGAAGCCGTAAAATCAGTCATTCTATCCCTAAACATTGTCCTTGTTCTGCCATCCATCCAGTCTGAAAGACTTGGATTTTCAGTGATTAAAAATTATGTCAGGTTTTACTGGCAGTCTTTGTTGTGGTTGTTTATCTGAATTATTTTTAAAACTAAAAAAATAAATAAAATGAAATAGAAAATAATTAAAATAAATAAACTGTATGTAAGGATTAGAAATGCCTTAAAGTATGACTTCTGAACAAAAAAGCTGCCAAAAACCGGTTTCCATTTTTTCCCATAATTCTCCATTGGCTTAAATACACAGGCCACACACAGAGTAATGCCTCAAATACTGATGGCGGTTTAAGGCATGAACCAGAAAGTCACAAAGCGCCTCTAAGTTCTATGTACTCTATGTACTCTATGTACTCTATCTATCTATCTATCTATCTATCTATCTATCTATCTATCTATCTATCTCAGTATATATTGGTTTGATTTGGTTTCTTTTACGACATATCAACCTCAACTGGCCATTTAATGCCGACAAGATTTTTAGTGCTGGTAATGTTTTTTATCTATCTATCTATCTATCTATCTATCTATCTATCTATCTATCTGAATAGGAGGAAGAGGAAATGTTCTTAACAATGCTCTGGTTGTCTGTTAATATTTTTTTCAACCGATGCTAAATTGTCAATCATTACTATCTATCTGTTTATAAATGTAAAAGACAATAGGAAAACTGTAATAGTTGCCGACGCGTTTTGTCCAATGTGGACTTTTTCAAGGCAAAAAACGAAATGAATTTATTTAAACAAAGTAACTAATAATAACAAAAACAAAATGTCCTTAGCAACTGGAAGAATTTAGAGGACGCTATTTTCATACTGTTAACTGAAAATTACGTCAATTACTGTCACGTGTGGAGATATTGTTTTTATTGCTGTGTTGACGGATTCAACCTTTTCTTTTGATCTCTCTCTCTCTCTCTCAGTCAGTTCATCTCTCTCTCTCTCTCTCTCTCTCTCCCTCTCTCTGATATATATATATATATATATATATATATATATATATATATATATATATATATGTTTAGGATTGGACTAAGGAGTTTAATGAGAGCTCAATGAGCAAATTTAAAATTCCCTAAAATATTACCTTTGGAGAATATACACTTGAAATGTTGATACTTATTTTATATGGATAGAAATATATGTGTGTATGGTTATGTAATTTATTGCTTATTATATTATTTAATTATATTATGTTATTTATGTTGGACATTATTATTATTATTATTATTAGTTTAAAATAATGATGATTGTATTATGTGATGATCATTCTATCTAAGATGACACGACTTTATTAGACAAATTGTTGTAACTCTTTTACTTTCTTCTCCTACCCGGTATATTAACTTGTTCAGCCCTTTTAAGAAATTTTTTTCTAGGTTATTCTCTTTATTTATTTTCGTTATTGGTTCATCATTTATTTCTTCTTTCTTTTCTTTCCTATATTTCTCCCCCTCTCTCTCTCCACCTCTATTCCTTCCACTCGCTTTCTTTCTTTCTCTTAATTTTTAATATTTTAATATTTTTAATATTTTTTCTATTATTATTAATATTTTTTTATTCTAATTTTTTTCTTTTTCTCCTTTTTTTCTGCGTCTTATTTCTCTTTCTCTTTTTTTTTTTATTCCTGTCTGTCTGTCTGGATTATTTCCATTCCTTAGAAACATTCAGTCTAAAGACATGAAACTAACAATATTCATGAAATAAATTATAACCGATATGCATTTTAAGGTTTTTTTTCATAATTTATCATTATATTTTGCTCTGTAACTTACATTGAGCTCTCATTGAATTAATGTTGTCTTTGGAATAATCACTACCAATTACAAATTGGCATTATATATATATATATATATATATATATAAACAGCTGACATAACTTCAATTGAAGAATTCCATGTTTTATTATTAAGAACATATCTAGAAGGAAAAGTAATAAACACTTTCTCACTGGAATGTGAGGAGTGTGCATATAACTTGATGTAACTTTATAGATATGCACATGACCTTCTTTGTTTGTCCCGACATGTTTTATGTGAGGTTGACACATCATGTGAGAAATGCAAAAATAAAAGCGGGAGAATTTTTTTCTTCTTTTTTCTCTCTTTTGTTCTCTTCTTCTAAAGAGATGAATATAATAATATTCATGAAATAAATTATAACCTATATGGATTTTTAAGGTTTTTTTTTTCTTAATTTATCATTATATATATATTTGTGTGTATATATATATATATATATATATATGCGTGTGTATATATGTGATATAATGGAATATGCATACACCTGAGTTCCCCCTTACTGGAATATGATTGGCTGGTGTCCGTCATAAATACAGACGGACGTGTAGGTACGACAGAGTTTAAGTCTATGACGATGCCCATTGGACTACGCCATTGTCTATTCTATTGGTCTACACCTATTACCTGCGACTACGACGAGTACCAGCTGCTACCGTGTACTACTACGATACAGTAGCCAAAACCACTTAGCTACTTCGATCAAATTTATCTCTTTCCGGGACATATCAATATGTGGCTGTATATATGTGTCTGTATATATATATATATATATATATATATATATATATATATATGTTTGCATCAATATATATATATGTGTGTGTCTGTATTTGTGTGTATACGTGTATATGTATATATATATATATATGTGTGTGTGTGTGTGTGTGAGTGTATGCATATGTGTGTGTGTATATATGTGTGTGAAGGTCCTTGATAAAATCCAGAGACGCAGATATGCAATGTAATTGGTCCTGATCTGGCATCTTGTCTGCAGTCGCTCTCTCACAGACGTGCCGCCGCCTCCCTCTGTCTTTTTTTACAAATACTTTCATGGTAATTGCTCCGATGATCTGTTTTCGCTGGTTTCCAGACTCCATGAGTTCAAGCGTCTTACGAGGCTGGCATCCCGCTCTCACACTTTCACTGTTGAAACTTTTAAATGTAGCCGTCTCTTCTATTCCAATAGCTTCATGTCTCACACCTCTCGCCTGTGGAACTCCCTTCCTTTTTCATGTTTCCCTGATAGCTATAATCGCCAACTTTTCAAATGTAATATCAATTGACATCTCCACTTGCCTTGATCTATCCACTGTCCTTCTACACATCTTTTCCTATTTCACTTCTATCTGCTCTCGCTCCAAATCCTCTGTAACCCCTTGCGTGTCAGTGGCTTCCCGCCTTGCTTGGAGTGAAATGCTTTAAAAAATGTATTAACAATCATTAATAATAACAATGTCACTCAGACTCACTGGAAAACAATTCACTGTTAGTAACTCATTCTTGAATTGTCCCCTTATTCTGTTCGTATAGTAAGCCGAAAGGTGAACATCCTATGCATACCGCAGATTTGCTTTCATCTGATGGTCGTAATCCTTACAGCCATATCTCGTTGAAACACCGATTTTCATACGATAACCCAAGTTAAGCAACTTCGTGTCTGGTTAGTATCTATATGGGTGACCGCTTGGAAATACCAGGTGCTGTAAGCTTTGATTTGACAGAGGTAATGATTACAGCCATATATCATTGAAATACTGGTTTTTATACGATAACCGAAGTTAAGCAACTTCGTGTCTGGTTAGTCTTTATATGGGTGACCACTTGGAAATACCAGGTGCTGTAAGCTTTGATTTGAAGGAGAAAATGCTTAGAAATCAACACTTAGAGGCGACAGTCTGTCTCATGCTAGATGCAATCGTCAGGCCACGAGTGCTGTTATTTTTCTCGGCTATTTATATATACGGGTCAGTGGTTATTAACCGCCAAAATAGACTACCCCCCAATGCACCACTCATCCGTATATATAAATAGTCGAGAAAAATAACAGCACTCTTGGCCTGAGGACTGTATCTAGCATGGAACAGACTGTCGCCTCTAAGTGTTGACTTCTATGTTCACTTTTATATTTACACACGTTCTATCTCTGATATTGAGCACTTTATCCCATAAATATAGCACATCTTAAGACTATATATATATATACATATATATATATAGTTTATGCAAAACTAGGTAATCCGCATGGGTAGACCCAAGGATGATGATATCCGGAGAGCTCAATGTAAAATTCTGAGCCGATATATTTGAATAAAAACAGACCACTTTAAGGTTCCATATAATAAATTATTTCACCACAACCCCTTTAACAGGGCTCTGGATCATCAGACTTTAGTTTCAATTAAATTCTTCGTAGATTGTTTAGACATTTAGATTTATATCTAACCTTAACCTCCCAAATATGCCCTTTAAAGTAAGGTGAATTAACAGCGTCTAAGAATTTGAATGAAACCTGCCCTCGTGAAATGTAATTTATTAGGGTTGTTGTAGCTTCTTTCTTTAATGTCGGTCTTCACCACTTACCCATCTATAGACAATAGGCGTTAAGTTTTAAGCGACGTCTAGCCGACACACAGGGGGGTTAAGAATAAGGAATTGAAATGGTACATCTAACCCACTCATATCTTATCTTCTCTCCCACCTCATCTCCTCACTTAGTTAATTTTACATATGCTTGATGCGGTCCGTCAAAAACGTGTGAATTTCTTTTCATTTTTCCTTTCAACCTTTGGAAGTAAAGTCTGATGATCCAGAGCCCTGTTAAAGGGGTTGTAGTGAAATAACTTATTACATGGAACCTTAAAGTGGTCTGTTTTTTATTCAAATATATATATATATATATATATATATATATATATATATATATATATATATATATATATATAAAACAACAACTATCATTGCTTATCTAATTATTTATGATAACCTTTTAATACTTTTATGTATAATTCTGCCTACAATTGCATTTTTGGGAGAACCTAGTGCAAATATCTGCTGTACAAAATGTTTATCCATTCCTTCCAATGAGGCGCCCCGGGACAGTTTTGTATACAATGTGTAGGCACTAACGCGTGCTTATGTAGATGTTATTGGGTTGCCTCATTATAGACCTAGGTTGTGAATGCCAAGTTGCAGAGCCATTTGAGAGAAAAGTGGTCTGCATATTCTAAGAGGAGCCAATGAAATGTCTGCTGAACGCGCATCAAGCGAACAGGATCGTGTGAATGGCACGACAACAGCCTCCGGTCTCTGCAGATTGTCAAGCCCATGACGGCATAACTCGTGTGATGCAATAGCAGGTCCATTGCCGTCGACGATGACGTATAGGTCCAAAGTTTGACGGGCATGAAGCATTAGGCGGAATTAATTCAAGAAGACACCTACTTTTGATTCGTGTCCTTTCCGACTCTTAACTTTTGGCTCGACTAAGTTCAGTGCTATTTAAACCGATCTAGAAATAGAAATCTACTGGCGGCTAATGTCAAAGATTGCCAGCCTCTTTGTTCGGGCTAACTGTTTACACAAAGGTCACTTATACAACTTGAAGATCACGAGTCTTTCTACGGAAATCTCTAAACATCTGCCAAGATGGATACTGGACGTGTGAAATAACCAATTTCGTAAAAGTTTGGCATCATCATTTATTGAGTTTCTTTTACTCTTTGATTAGTTTGGATCTGGTTTGTTTTACGGTATATCAACCTTAATGGGTTATTTAATGCCGACAAGATTTTTTACTACTGGTAATATTTTGTTCATAAAGTATTTTGGTAATATTTAAAAGAAAAAAAAATTGTTTTTTTTTTTGTTTTACAGCATATCAACCACAACGGGTTATTTAATGCCGACATTTTTTCCTGGTAATATTTTATTTTGTCAAAAATCTCTTACAGGTAATATTTCTTCCTGGTAATATTATTTTAAAAAAATATGTATTGCTGCTAATATTTTTTTTTTCAAAATTATATTGCTGGTAACAGTTTTTTTTTTCAAAAATTCATTTCTGGTAATAATTTTTTCAAAGTATTTCTGGTATGATATCTTATTTTCGCACTTTTATAATGCTTTTTACCTCAGTTCCGGGGTTAACTATTTGCCCATAGCTGGGATCCTAACAGGTGCTACCACCCCGGGTCAAGATGGACCTGGAAACACCAGCAATTAAAAGGTTGTTCCCCGAGATTCAAAACCTCCTGATCAGAGGCCTTGCTGTTGGACGTAGTTTATTGTCCTACCTTGGACGCGGATTCAGTTTATCGTCACACTCTGGACGCCCAAAAATGTATTGCTGGTAATATTCTTTTTCAAAAAGTATTTTTCGTAATATTTTTTCCAAAAATGTATTGCTGGTAGTAGTTTTTCCAAGAAAGTATTTTGGGTAAAAATTTAGTACTGGTAATTGCTGGTATTAAAACCTATTTTTACACGTTTTGACCCCAGTTTGTGGGGTTAACTATTTGCCCATAGCTGGGGCCCTAACAGGTGCTACCACCTCAGGTCAGGTTGGAACTGGGAACACCAGCAATTAAGAGTTAGTTTCACGATCCTCAAAAAGTTCTGATCAAAGACCTTGCTGCCGGATGTAGTTTATCGTCTTAACCAGAAATGTGTAATGTTCATAGGCAAAGTTCAAAGTTTTATAGCGGGATTAGCCAACAGACACCCACTTGAGACGAGCGTTTTTTGAACCGGTCAATGTTCTTACAGAGATATTGGTACTTCGTTTTTATTTACAAATAACAAGTTTGAAACTCTACTTACGTCATTGATAACGGGCTTATGGCCGGATCACTTTGAAACATCAATTCTCCGAAGTTAAGAAACGTCGAGCCTGGTCAGTACCGGTGGGTGACCGCTTGGGAATATTAGGTGCACTAACCTTTCATCTGCAGGTGGTATAATAGATAACGGTTGGTATTTGGAAATCGGAGAGGGCGAGTTCCAAATTCCTGTTGGGTTTGTTATATTATGCGTAAATACAGTTGGGAAAAGCATGAATCCAACTATTCTCCCCAGATATGAGTTAAATAGTAGGACTTGTATTAGTAAATCATGAGTATTCCAAAAGTAAAAATCTTGTCGGCATTAAATAACCTGTTGAGGTTGATACGCCGTAAAACAAACCAAACCAAACCAAGAAGTTACACCTATTTTCCGGTTGAAGGAGAAAGAAAGCTTGTCTTCTGATAAGTCGAAAGTGCTTTTCACTATAACTGGCGCAATGTTGTTAGAAGTTCTCAGATCTCTGATATTTTCTCCAGGGGTGAAAGCCCTCTATTTCATAACTGTCGTTGCGACTGAAGACATCAGGAAATGACATTATTGTCGCTCGGCTGGATACAGCTGTTTTGTCTATATCTCTAAATGCGGTATTATTATAACTTGCATTATTTACATTATTCGGACTGTTATCCTCATATTCCTTGTCATATTCACAACGTTTCGGCCATTGTAATTTCTGACGTCCCTCAGATGATTGGAATTTCGATTTCGTCCACCGGGGTAGATTGTTTTAGTTCCACGGGATATGCCCCTTCCTGATGTCTCAGTTACTTCTCTTTAAGTAAAAGATTTGTGAGTTCAATAGCAGGCCAAAATTTTCAGAGTTTGAGTTAAATGAGATATCCGGAAGAGGCATGACACGTGGAACTAGAAAAATCCAACTTGGTGGACGAAATAAAGGGTTCGATTCGAAATTGCTATCACCTGAAGAAAGCCGGAGTGTACAACGGCTGATATGTTGTGAATATGGCAATGAAGATAAAATTGTCGAAAGTACTTGGCATATCACTTCCATCAAATATAACGATCGTATTATTCAAGGAATTGATAATAATTTACTGTCTTATTAAGTTTTGTTAGCGAAGTGTTTTCCCCATTAATCATATCAACATTGCTAATGAATTCTTTGTATAAACTGCTTCTTTGATGATATATATATATATATATATATATATATATATATATGAAGAAATATACTCTTAAGGTGTGGTATATTTATGGGATAAAGTGCTCAATATCAGAGATAGAGTGTGTGTAAATATAAAAGTGAACACTGAAGTATGGCCTGACGATTGCGTCTAGCATAAAACAGTCCGTTTTAGTGGACTCAGCAATTTTCAATCTGCTTGTCTGAATCATCTTCAAGAAGCGAGAGCAAGATCTAAAAGGTCAGCCAATCTAACAGTGATCGCATCTCACAATCCTCACACTTGATCTATATGTGGCCTCCTTTGTAAATCACTAAATGCCACTTAAGATTATCGCACAAAAATTTCATAACTGAATCAATAAGCTGTCAGATCCACATGCGTCGAAACCGACGGGAGAGTCCATTATTATATATATATATATATATATATATATATATATATATATATATATATAATGGGATCCCAAATTTTCAGAAACCGGTTCTGCAAAGAGGTAGGTAATCTTTAGGAACCTATTCTGTCCATGTTTTTTTTTTTTTTTTTTTTAATTGTGAATGGAAAAAAATCACTTTATAGTATCGAAATGAATTAAACCAATTATGATAATTCAATAGAAAACATTTATTTATTAAAATATTTCTGTTCTCATCATATTTCTTTTCGACAGTATGATACGTTTTTACTCTCGTGTCATTATAATTTATTAGCCACGTGCGAACTGAAAAGCTGCAGTCACAAAAATTTTAAAATTTTTAACTTCAAGACTATTTCTTTAGTCTGAATAAATATCTCCATAATAGAAAACCCTCTTTCAGCATCTGGAGAAATTACAGCCGTGGTGTTACTTATATTTGAGCTATTAATATATAATTTGCTAAGCTTTTATAATTTTCAGAATCGGTTCTTGTGAAGAGGTAGAAATCGGTAGGAAGCCATTACTATATATATATATATATATATATATATATATATATTGAACAATAAAAAAAATAAAAAAAGTTAAAATCTTCAGACACACTGGGTTGTAGATTAATATTCTTTCGTTTTTTTTATTATTATTATTTCATTTAGATTCCTCGACTAGTTTCGGCCAAAATGGCCATCATCGGGAGGAGAAATATTTCTGCTTGCTGGTAGCAGTAAACTACAGAAATGAATGTCTTGATGGAGAAAAAGAACTTTTGTCTGTAGTTTTCATTTGTTTTGTTTTTTATCTTTTTAAAATGAATCTTTTAACATTCCCTGTGTTTGTCAAACAGTCTCTTTTCAGTTGTTATTTGAGATAAAATCTGGATGGATTTATGCTTCTCTGAATTCCCTTAGTCAGTTTGACAGTTTTATTGGTCTTGGAGAGGGAATGCATCAGTAGCTTCGATGTAGCAGAAGGCTGTCAGTATGAGCCTTAAGTGAGGATCGTAGACATTATCCATTCGTAATTGATCTAGCGGGGCAATCATGCCACGTCGGGACCTATGACACACACACACACACACATACACACACACACACACGTATATATATATATATATATATATATATATGACAGGTTTCACATGAAAAGACAAAAGGAAAACTGAGCTGACACTATTCGTCCTCACGTTTGCCTTGACAATGTACCTCAGAGGATGAAACTCGTCGCCTAAGTTTTCCTTTTGTCTTTCAATACTGACATTTCTTCCTTTATAAATCAAGTACAGGATAAAGTCCACCCTTAAATCGACAAGTTTCAATAGACTTTAGAGAGTCCTCAATACCCCGAACATGAACTCAATATTATCCCCAAAAATATAACAAACCTACCGAGCTACTCCGGTTTCACCCCTCGGATCATCAGCTTAGTTTGAAGCCCCAAGTCTGAAAACACGATAGCTCAGTAAGGTTGTTATATCTATTTAAGATAATATTTACCTCCATCCTTCCCTGCCGTTCATTAGAATGTCTGACGCTCAACTTCTCGAGAGAGCAACTCTCTGCGGCTGCTCGGTCTCACGTTGACTGCTGACCTGCGATGGAACAAATACATTGAGTAAATTGCTTCGTCCACCGCAAGGAAAGTTGGCTCCCTGTGCCGTGCCAGGAAATTTTTCTCCCCAGATCCTCCAGATCTACAAATCAAAAATTCGCCCTTGCATGGAGTATTGCTGCCATATATGGTCAGGAGCCCCTTCTGTTTGCCTCGGGATTCTTGATAGGCTCCGGATATGCAATATAATTAGCCCTGCTCTGGCATCTCGTCTACAGTCACTTTCTCACAGACGCGCCGTCGACTCTCTCTGTCTGTTTTACAAATACTTTCATGGCAATTGCTCCGAGGAGCTGCATTCACTGGTTCCCAGACTTCATGAGTTCAAGCGCCCTACGAGGCTGGCATCCCGCTCTCACCCTTTCACTGTCGAAACTCCTAAATGTAGCCATCTCTTCTACTCCAATAGCTTCCTGTCTCGCACCTCTCGCCTGTGGAACTCCCTTCCCTTCTCCTGTTTCCCTGTGAGCTATAATCTCCAGCTATTCAAATGTAATGTCAATCGACATCTCCATTTGCCTTGATCTATCCACTACCCATATCCTCATCCTTTCTTCTATCACTCCTATCTGATCTTGCTCCAAATTTTCTGTAACCCCTTGCGTCCTAGTGGCTTCTCGCCTTGCTTAGGGGTGAAACGATTATATATATATATATATATATATATATATATATATATATATATATATATACAATTTAGTTTAGAGTGACCTTTAGCAAACTTAGGACAACAAAACGGATAAATCCTTTATGGAATGTTACCTATCTCTGTTCGAGCTGGAAGCTGGTGTAGAATGCCAAGAGAAAAAATAAACACATTGAGACGACCTCTTGGCATATGTCAAATGTCAACAAGCCTCAATATTAGGTGACAGTGGTTGTATTTTTAGGATTATTTTTGCATCTGGATTACTGTTGATTCTGCTAGACAGTAAGCAGTTCCAAATCCTTCCTTGTGCCTGTTTTTTCCTTTCTTCTCAAGTAGATGCAAAACCTCCCGCAAAATCTGAGAAATACTTAGCCATCGATTTTCTCTCCCCACTATTTTTTCCGTTTGTTTGTTCTTGTTAAAGCACTGGGATCTTTTTCCCGTTTCTTTACGCTTGATTACATGACGACGATCTTTAGCATCTCTAAATAGCAAGAAGGCAAAAAACTCATGGTAAGAAAAGGAATTTCTCATTACCAAATTCTTCTGTAAGTATATTTGCCTCGAGGTATCGTGAATCTGTAACTGCTTGGATTGGAAGTTTCCTCACTTCATTGGAAACTTCTCTGTCAGAAGCAAGTTGGCAAAATCTTCCTCTAGTTTACACACGCAATGTTAAACTAGAGATTCTTTCTTCGTACAGAGTAATTATGTAATTGATAGAGAAGCCCACAAAGAGAATAAACAAAGATTCAAATAAAATATAAAAAAGAAAAGACAACCTTGCTAACTATTAGACAAAGTTGAAGTGCCTTACAATGATGTTCTAAGCGTAATTTATATGTGACACAAGGCCAAAATTGTTGAGCACCCAGAGATGATCAATTCAATACTCAGTCGTAATTGATTCTAGCGAGATAAATTGTTAAACATTAGACAACGTCGAAGTGCCCTACAATGATTTTCTAAGTGTAACTTATATGTGACACAAGCCCAAAATTTTTGAGCACACAGAAAGGAGCAAATCAATATTCAGTCGTAATTGATTCTAGTGAGACAAACTTGCTAGCCATTAGGCAATTTGAAGTACTCTACATTGATTTTCTAAGCGTAGCTTAGATATGACACAAGGCCAAATATGTGGAGCACCCATCGAGAATCAAATCCCTACTCAGACGTAATTGATCTAGAGAGATAAGCTTGCTACAGATTACAACACGCCAGAGTAGAAGAATATATGCGACAGCAATATTCACCGAATGGTTGACATCTAATTATATTCACGGAACACGTTTCCACTTTAAAAAGTAATTATATTTTCTTTGGTTCTTAGGCCACTTAAAATATAACCAACAATGGAAATGTTTTTTATCCGTACATGTGACCTTGTGTAAAAGTGCACAAAGGTGTTTGGAAAGCTGTCAGACATTTAAGCGGCTGTTGTAAGAAGGAACCCTATATAATGTTAGGAATATCCGATCAGCGAAGCAACTACACGCCTCCAGACTAATCTAACAGTTTTAGTTCACATATACTTGATCAACGTACGAAGGTAGTAAGAGAGATTCGTTGTAACCCAATTCTCCAGATTCAGAGACGAACAGTAGAATTGATTGCATTGAAAGTATTGAAAGACTTGCTGCATAGAAATTTCTGTTTGAGCTTCTGCGATGAGAATTTATCATTGTTTACATTATTTTTACTATGTCATTAAATACACCCTGATCATTATACACATTAGTGCATTATTTACACTCGGATATAATTCACACTTTTCATTCAATTTCACTCGGGCATTATTTATTATCCTCTTCATCATTTACAATCGGGTATTATTTACTCTGCTCTTCATCATATACACTCGGGCATTATTTGCTATCCTCTTCATTATATACACTCGGGCATTATTTACTCTGCTCTTCATCATATACACTCGGGCATTATTTGCTCTCCTCTTCATTATATACACTCGGGCATTATTTACTCTGCTCTTCATCATATACACTCGGGCATTATTTGCTCTCCTCTTCATTATATACACTCGGGCATTATTTACTCTGCTCTTCATCATATACACTCGGGCATTATTTCCCCCCCTTTCATTATATACACTCGGGCATTATTTACTCTCCTCTTCATTATGTACACTCGGGCATTACTTACACTCCTCTTCATCATATGCATTCTGGTATAAATTACTCTCCTCTTCATCATATACCCTCGGGCTTATATATTCCCACCTTCATTATATACACTCGGGCATTACTTACACCAACATCATTATTTACACACGGACATTATTTACAATTGGGCATTATTCACACTACTCATCATTATTTACACTCGGACGTTATTTACACATCATTATTCATGCTATCCATCATTATATGCACTCAGACATTATGTACACCCATGATCCTTATTTACATGCGGGCATCATTATTTTCACTTGGACATTATTTACACCCATCATCAATATTTTCTTCTTGACATTATTTACACTTCCTCATCATTATTTGCACTAATGAATTATTTACACTCATCCATTATTTACACCACTCACCATTATTTACACTCTTCATTATTTACTTGCTGATATTATTTACATCCTCTCATCATTATTTGTACTCATAAATCATTTACACTCAGACATTTGTAATCAAACATTGTTTACACTCATAGATTATTTACACCACTCATCATTATTTGCAACTTTCATCATTATTTGCATTCTGATATTATTTAGACCACCTCATCATTATTTGTACTCAAACATTATTTACACTCATAGATTATTTATACCTGTCATTATTATTTACACCCTTCATCATTATTTGCATTCTGATATTATTTGGACCCCCTTATCATTATTTGTACTCAAACATTATTTACACTCATAGATTATTTACACCTGTCATTATTATTTACACCCTTCATCATTATTTGCATTCTGATATTATTTGGACCCCCTCATCATTATTTGTACTCAAACAATTTTTACACCCATAGATTATTTACACCACTCATCATTATTTACACCCTTCATCATTATTTGCATTTTGACATCATTTAAACTGTCATCATTATTTACATTCAGATATTAGCTATAACCCTCGTCATTATTTGCACTCCTATGCTATTTACACCCCGCAACACCCGGACATTATTTTAAACAGTAATACTTATTTAAACCCGATATTATTTTAACTCGGACATTATTTACACTCCTCATCTCTTTTTCATTATCACAACTTTTCGACTATTTATCACCCTGACCTTCAGAGAATTTCGATCGAGACCCTTCAATTAATATACGGGGTGCATTTTTCTTTTTCCGCTGACCATGTCTAAAGCAACTTGAAATACTGAAGATTTGAAAATATAATTATAAAAGTGTTATTTTTATTTATTTTTCAAATATGACTTGATTTGATCAGCGCGTGCCATCTAAGATTCTTCACCGCACGTATGATAATTTGCATAAGCTGATGCGTTGCATGTTGACGGCAGTGACTGATCTCAGTTCGACTTTTTCTCTTGGCCGGCCATCGCCAACCGTTTCGGTTCGGCAATTAGAGACTTCAACACAGAGAATTTTACCTTTATTAATGCCGGCATCTACATTATCTATCTAATGGAGGTCGCCCCACTCGCTGGGAAGCCGTTTCGGACACGAAAGACAACGCGTCTACATCGATTGACGCTCAAGAAACAACTCAAAAACCTTTATCTATTTATCATTCCCATGCTAGGTCAGCCAGTAGAAATCGACTTCCTTATTATGTCTTACATCTGACTCAGGAGGTCCACTACCGAAAGTTGGAGCTGAGATAAACTTCCTCTTAAAAATAATGTCTGCTAGAGTATTATGTAACAGATGAACACGTCTAGTTCAACGATTGCTGAATATCTACTTAATAGTCCGGGTTGTACAATTTACCAGGGATTAATTTACAGTAATCAGAAAAATTCAATCTGATTATCAATTACAAATTTTACGGGAAATATACATCAGCTAACTATGAATGCATGCATTCATTCCAGTTCTTATTAATAACAGCGCTGTTTCTTTCCAGGTAAAGTAACGTCTGACTTTTCATCTTGCTGGTCAAAAATATTATCATCTGATTATATAACCTTATAATCACTGTGATAACGGTTCCAGTCAATTTTTTTTTTCATGTTGGGGAACAGATGATAGTCCGATGAGGTCAAAATCAGGAGAATAGGGAGGGTGATCAAAGCCACTGATACTCTCAACAGTCATTGAAACCAAGGATGTCTACTGGAGCATTGTCCTGGTGGAACAAGACTTCTTTCGTCAATTTTCTTGGGCGTTTGGTTTCAGTAGCCTTTCATATCTGTTTAGTAGTCATGTTGTTTTTTCCAGTTCATAATATGCTATCAATGTTAGCGCAATTTCAAACTTGAAATTTATAAAAAAAAAAAAAAAAAAAAAAAAGGACAGTAACCCTTTGTGAAGTCAGTGATCGATTTGACACTGGATTTATATTAGGAACAGGATACCCCTTTCTGTATTGATGAAAATTAAGATTTTTCGATTATGACAAAAGTCGTGGATATAGGAAGTCTAATGCATGTTAACTTACAAATGAAGATCTAATGATTGCTAAAATACAAAGGTCTGGAGAATGTCAATGTACAAATGAATATCTAATGAATGCTAGACTACAAATGAATATCTAATGAATGCTAGACTACAAATGAATATCTAATGAATGCTAGACTACAAATGAATATCTAATGAATGCGAGAATACAAATGAATATCTAATAAATTCTAATTTACAAGTGAATGCTCTTCTATAAATGAAAACCGAATAAATGCTAATCTCCAAATAAATTAAAACGAAGGCTGATGTTTAAATGAAGATACAGTGAATGCTAACTTACAAGAATTGTTTCAAATAACGTCTTTCCAATTTCTTTATAAGAGTACCAGTCACCTTAAGTAGTGCCTTCATCCCTGTTCAAACTTAGTGTGCTGAGCGCCAAACTATCCTGGAAGTGATATTGTTTTCTTGTCTGAAGGAACACAAGAAATCATTTCCAGAAGTCGAATGCCTGGTGGTAACCGATAGTTTTGTGAAATATCGCTCGATATCAGTTCGGCGTGTGGGCAGAGTGTAGAGTTTAGTCTGATGCCAAGAATATTGGACTTACAACACCATAATAATAATCTGTAAGATTGGCTAGCTTGCCATTATTACCAGGCAAAGTGTCATCAATATTGTTACATATCAGTACGACGCTAACAGTTGATCTTTCACTGAGAGCTTCTAAAATAATATATAAATGCGTCAACAAGACGAACATGTTAGCCATTTCGCTAAAAAAACTTGCCAATCTAATAAATCCTATTGATGTTATTTCTAGTAGACGGTGTACCGGAAGTGCCTATCAGGAACGCACAAACTGATGGACGCTTTCCGTCTTCTTTAGAGGAAATAATCAAGTGTTCTGTCAAATTCCATGACAAATCGTGTAGAAGTAGTAGAACTATCTTCAGGCAATTTCGATTTACAAAGAAGGGTAATTTTTTTTACTGGGAAAATTAATAAAACTGACGGAGATACTGATATTCAGCGTCTATTCACTGGAATATTAAAGCTGTTAACGGCTGACCACAAGCTTAGAGAAGAATCGAAAATATAAAATCAAAAATTGAAACCAAAATATTAAGTTATGTAAGGTCAAATATAGTAGATGATCTACAAAATGAACCTACAAAATGCTGTTAACTGTTAAGGTGTTAAAATAGGCAAGCCATTCCTTGCCTATTTTAACAACTCCAAAACGAAATTTCATTATTAATCATTTTATATATTTATAAGTTTTGAAATATTACAGCCACATATGGTTCGATGTTATTGGTTCTGACCTGGCGTTTCGGCTTTAGACACTTTCCTGCCTCTAGCTTTTCTATAAATACTTTCATGGTAATTGTTTGAATGAACTCTCCGCTATGCTACCTAGACTTTATGGATTTAAGCGCAGTACTAGATTGGCGGAAAGGTCTCATCAATTTACAATTGAATTGTTCATATGCTAATAGTTTCTTTTAGCGCACTTCTTGATTGTGGAGTATTCTTCCGGTTCCTTGCTTTCCGGCTTTGATCTTTAAAAATGTAAATACAATGTCAATCGTTATCTGCTCTCTTCTTGATTACTCATAATTTAAACACGCTCTTTAATAATGTTTCTCTTTTCTCTTATTCCTTGTGTCTTAGTGGCTTTACTACCGTGTATGAAGGGAAATAAAAAAACAAAAACAAAAACAAAGGGGTTATGACCTTTTTTTTTAATCAGCTAAAAATATCATCCTTAAATTCATAAATCTCAACAAAATGTCTGAAACTAGAGTGTCAGGAATCCATGTAATGATTTTAACTGAATTTTTTTATTATGATCTACAGGTCATAGTACCACACCAAAAAATACTTGACACTTCTTGACATGTTCAATTCTATATGAATTGTAAAGAAATCGTTTCTAAAGAATTTATCCTAAAAAAGAGGGACGCGGGTCCATAGCACAACTTTCTTTATTAAGATCTTTATAATATACAGGCCATTAAACCTAAACATCATCATCATCCCTTTAACTATGGCGAATCCGATTACAGGAGCAACAGTGATTCCTATCCACAGCAGTCTATTAACGACAGCCATCAGCAATTCTAGTACAGCCATACCTGTTCATTATTTGACATTTTCCAACTAGTTGTTTTTTTCGTTGTCCACCTTCAACGGTGCCTTGCATGATGGTCTTCAGAATGCTATTGTTCCCAAACGCTTGCATACATCTCTCTGTATCTGCCAACAGAGTCCATGTTTCACATTTCATATTTTCATTAAAAATAACGTTTGAAGTAACAAAAACGACGGATTAAATATAAATCAACTAATTTTTAGAAATTGTTTTGTTTATGTGGAAATGTGCATTCTATAAGGTGAAAAATAGAACAGGGTTAGCCTGTATCCCTCTTTCTGGGCGATCAGTCTCTCGGATCACACTAGGTCAAACGCTGGTTTCTCCTACAAAGGTAGACGAAGGTTGGTCCCTTCTAGAGAGCACATATTTTCTTTGTTAAGTGTTGTACAGAAAATCTGACTAACATTCTCTATATAGTCCATCCGCTATTAGTCAGACGTCTGGCATGAGAACAGTGCCAAAAAGGGGGCCATAAAGGCAGAGCGCATTTCAGTTGACGCATTGAACTATTGTATTCTCAGTTTATGTTCTCATACGATTAAAATCTTCTCCGCCCAACGTTTTGTTGCAGAGTTTTCCTTACAGTCTTAATAACCATCAACTGCGAACGTTAGACTAACTTCAGAACATTAAGCTTCCTCGAGTGTTCAAGCCGGTAGATGTAATACACATTGCTTAAAATAAAATGGCGCGTCTATTTCAAATACGGGGGTCCATTAAAAATAACATCGATGTAATATTCCTTTACTAAAACTCAAAAAATGTCATCATTTTAATTTTGCATTTATATT